CGGGCCTGCCTACCCTGCGGCCGACAGGCGGCCTCCCCGCGCCACTCGCGGTGTGGTCCGGTCCGCGGTCGCGGTGGCGGCCCGGCCAAACGTTTGACCATTTATTCAGCCGTATAGTACGGCCGCAAATTCAATTAGAGGAATGCCACAGTCAGGGAGTAGTTGTGGAGGCACACACATACCAACTTCGAAGTGCACTGGAAAAAAAATCAAAGTGAACCCTCTAACTGTATTTGTATGTTTTTGTGATGAGTTAAAATTTGACAAGAAATGCACAACAGTCAATACGGGCAGTTCACTGATTAGCTTGCAGTAAATAAATCTTCCCCCCAACAAACTTTTCTTGCATAAAAATTACAAAACAGAAAAAAGTTTTTTGCATAAAGTTATGTCAATCAACATTTATACTTTTTTCGAACAATATAAAATTCTCTGCTACTGCAAGTTATAATTTGACCTGTGGTGTTCGTTTGTGTTGTAACCATCGACTGTGCGTCCTCTCTTCAAACTTTGTTGCACGAGCAACAATTAGTTGCTCTCTTAAATTTTTATTGACAAAAAAAAGGGTTGTGTGCCCGAATTCTTTTTCCGCTTATTGTTGTTCGTAAAGTGTGAGCTCGATTGAAATTCATCCCGATGCTACCGACAGTGCTCTTGCATCCCATAGAATAACTTTGGCGACATTGTTCATCCTTGCTCTTTGATCGGGACGCGCCGTGTCCCCCGTCCCCCAACTCCGTTGAAACATGAAAGGAGTGCCATGGACTCTCCCGCTGCGCGACGCTCCTCCCCCCCCCCCCCCCCCCCCCTCTCTCTCTCCGTAGCGTGGATCACACGCCGCGAGTCCAGCACATACGCCTCTGGCGGAGCTCCGAGATGAAAAAAGAATTCCCTCGTCGTCTCTCGCACCTCTTTCCTCTCAATTACCCTCCTCTCCCCCCTTTTCATGTGCCTCAACGCTCAGTAAGGCTGATGCAGAGGGTGTTGCATCCATTAGCAGCTCAGGCTGAGAAATTCATCATCCGATAAATTTGGCGCTACACGAGAACGCTTTTCCTCGCGTGACGGCCAGCCCCCACCCCCCTTTCTCTCTCTCTCTTTCTCTTCGTCTCTCTTGCTTTTTCTGCTGCATGTTCTTGTGTGTTAGAGTGCGTGTGCGTATGTATGTGTGTGTGTGCGAGAGAGAGAAGGGGGGGGGGGGAGACGGAGAGTGGTCACATTACTCTCCCTCTTCATTACACTCGCCTGTGTATACTTGTGGGTTACCGTATAATAGGAAGCAGAATGCAAGTACTCATAAAAGTATTGTATCTAGACTAATTTGTGAGGAGTGAGAGTGACGGCCATAGGTAATTACAATAATTACGTTAGTCACTGAGCGCGTGACGTGCTAACAGACGACCCATATGGAAAAGGGGAGAGGGGGTGAGATCGCCCTGCTGCGATGAGGTCACACAGTGCGCAGCGCGTGGGATCGATTTTGGGGCAATGGCATTAGTCGTTATCTTTCCCTGTTTCCTCTTATCGACATCCGCCGTACTAACCTTTCCCCTCACCCTGCTTCACCCAAACCACGTCTCTGCATAACAAGGACACATTGAGCAAACACGAGACACCTCCACGCCTCACACCCGCAACTTCCGGTACTCCAAGTCCAAACGACTGTTTTTCTTTCACGTCTTACCGTATCTAAACCTGCCAGCACCAGTTGACGACGTATGTACACACACAATAAGAGCTTCTTCACACCACTTCCCCCTGGCTCTAGAGGCAATCGGGTGAACAAAGGGAACGTGACAAAAATGGAAAGAGAAAGACGATTGATAATGTCCGCGTGAGGGAACGCTACGAGAAGAGAACATCTAGAATTTGTGTGTGTTATTACGAAGAGAGGGAGGGGGGGGGGTAAAAATGGAAAAATCAGAGAAAGATAAAT